ATTTATAGTTAATAATTATTTTTATTATTAATACTTAACCGCCTTGCAGCGGCGGTGGTCGAAGAGACAAGTGTGTGTGTGTGTGAGAGAGAGAGAGAAGGGTAGCGTGTGTCATTTCCAAAAGATTGGAAGGGTAATTTTGACCATGCACCTGCTCTTACACACGTCTAAGCGCGTTAAGAGCCGGTCCATGCGCTATGGTTTTTAGATCTATAAACAAAATTCAAATCGATTTGAGGAGACACTAAACAGATTTGCGGTTTGAAAAGCAACATTTTATGTATATATATATATATATAATATAATATATTATATGCATTATAATTATATAATAATATATAGTATATAATATAGAAACCGGATTCAGTCAGTGCAATGCCCATTCAAACAACCATCATAGCCTTGCATTGGTAATATCTCCCCATGAAGTAAAGCACTGAGGTATGGAGATATTCTCAATGCAAGGCTGTAACACTGTTCGAACAGTGTTTGAATGGGCCTTGCACTGACTGAAGCCAATCTCTATAATATATTAATAAAATAAATAATTTTTTTCAATTTTATTATACTAATTTATTTAATTATTGTATATATAGGCAATTGAATATATCAAAATTCATATAAAACTAAAATTTTAAGTTTTTTTTTTCATTTTTTTAAATAAATAGGCAAAAATAGCTTTGGCCCGGTCCATGGCCCGACTTGGAACAAGGCTTGACCCACGGGCCAGCTTGGCCTGTGGCATTGCATGGCACGACACAGGCCTGGGCCATGGGCCATGGGCTGTATCGGGCTGACCCCTAACATTTTCATTGGGGAGGGCGGCACAGCCCGTGACGGCCCACAGGCCAGCACGGCACGGCTCACACTTTGCACAGGCTGCCCGCAGGCCATACTGTGCCAGCCCATCACGGGCCTTTTTGGGTCTAGTTTTGTTTTCTGGATCTGATTTATTGTTTCTCTAGGCTTTCTATGTGGAGTGGTTTTTTGTGTTATGGTCTTGGTTTTATGGGCTTGAGATGATATCTTGCTCACTTGGCTTGGGCTCTTCTTGGTTTGTTCTATTGTATATTCTCCTTATCTTCTCTTCTATTTTTTGAATGTATATACCTTCCACCGGGCAATGAAATAGGAGAGACAAACAACAAAATCCCTAAGTCATTGTACATAGATGGTTTATCCTAAAAGTACCCCTATCACTTCATATTACTTCATATTTAAGTAAACCCTCCCCCTCCCACCCCATTAGACTTTGTGATTGGAGAAGAAATTGAATGCTTGTATTTGGGGCTCAACATTTCATGTAGGTGTCATTTTCTGAGCTCCATACTTGTTAGATAATAATAGACTAAGTATAAATAACAAACACCCTAAATTAGATAAGGGCTGTCAACAAGTAGGGTTTGCTTTGGGACAGGGTATACCAGCAGTCCCAAACTGACTATTAATTAGGGCAAAATCATAAATCCAGAAGTTTCCCGATTATTAATCAGGATAATCAGGTTTGACCCGATTAGTCCCAATTATACTTACATCTACAATTTTTTAATTATTTTAGTAACAACTTAAACCTTCATTTATTTAATAATATAACTTTAATAAAAATGTCAATAAATAGTGAATTGTTTATTTGTCAAAAAATCAACAAGTGCTTTAATTCAAGATTTTCTTATACATTGTCTACCAAATTTACTCTTTTAGAGATAAAATGTAATGAAAATTACAAGAAAATTAGGAAAGCTTTATGTATTTTTAACTCAAAAATTGGTTTGAGCCTTGATCAGTTTGGAACACGCAAGAAGTAGAACCATTGCCTGCGGAACGGTCCGGATGGATATGAGGAATTGCGGGATGGGAATGGGAAGTGGCTCCCCGTCCCCGCCTTCCCAATGAGGTCAAATGATTCAGAAGTTCTACCAGTTAGGCCACCTGGTAATTGACTCACAAAACAATTTGGAGATGATCCATGGACTGAAAACACTGGTCCTGAATCTAGTTTTAGATGCCAACGGTGGGATGGCTCAATTGGTATGTTAGCAGGTTTGTTTGAGCAGAGATGTGGATTCAATTCCCCCGACCACGACTTTGGGGAGGGGTTATTAGTATGGTGCTGCGCAACTGAAGGTGTATCACCAAATACCAAAAATAAACTAGTTTTGAACATCCAAAGATAACTTATGATCCACCCCAATCAAATACTTGATTCAGATAAGATTTGAACATCAATGTATGGTGATATTACTCTAGACAATTAACATACATTTGTCATTTCTAGTTCATTTTATTAATAAAACATAATATTTACATAACTTTTTAAAATATATTGATCCATATAATATCCAAATCCCTTATGAGCTTCTCTTGCATCCAATGTATACAATTTCTTTGAATCCGAATATAAATAAATAAGATGGAATTTGCTTCACCTATCACGATGGAGCATGGTAAGCTCACACAATAACAAACAATGCTAGGTAAATTACAAGTGTTGGGAACTTGGGATTGTCTTATTTTTCAACATTAGATTAGGCTCTAATCTAATGGTGGATGTGGTTCCCTCTTTAGGTTAAAGTGGGTTTTACATATAGAAAAGATTTCTTTTGAATGTAGGATTTAAAGAGAAGAGAAATTTCTCTATTTTTGTTGGAGAGAGAAGAAAAAGAGTAGGTACATAAATGTTTGTGGTATTTGTGAATAAGTGGATGTAGTGTTTTTCAAGGCCAATAGAAGTTTGTGATATTTGTGAACAAGTGGATGCACGAATAGAACATATCCAAAGTGGTTGACAAATAATCCAAGGTGGGAATTGTTAGAAGTTCTGTCTAATTTTTCAACCATTGGATTAAGTTATAATTTAACAATAGGTATAATCTCTCCTTTAGCTAGCTAGGTAGGTTAAGGTGGATTTTACAGAAGAACAAGTTTCTTTTGTATATAGGATTTAAAGAGAGAAAAAATGTAATTACCTTTTTCGCTAAAGAGAAAAAAAAATGAATGTATGAGAGAAGAAGGGTACTCCTAGGCTATGTTTGGTTTGAAGGAAAAGGTAGGGAAAAGAAGGGAAAGGTAAGGAATCTATACAAGCCAGTGTTAGTGTAAGAATAGTTTTCTCTTGTTTTATTATTTAAGCTAAGAAAGAAAAGGGAAAACAAGTACACAAGGGTTCAGTGTAGATTTGAGTAACTAGTCACAAGGTATCCTGTACTATTTCTCATTTGTTAATAGTTATGAACAACGGTTTCGTCTATCCTATAGATGCTAAAAATATGACCGAACCATGTAAATACTTTGTATTCTTGGTGATACTTGTTTTTATTTATCTTTACTTCAATTTTGTATATTTTGTTACTATTTTATTATCTTGATTGGCATTGTTTCAAATATCTTTTGGTTTTATCTTGTGAAGGGGCTTCTAATAAAACATTATTCTCTATAATTTATTTACTAGCATATAGGGGTTTTGTCATACTACAAGTTGTCAAGTGCATAAAACATTATTCTCTATAATTTATTTAACATTTCAAAAAATTATTTTGAAGGGGCTTCTAACAAATGCTTTTACATCATATTGCATTTAGAAGAAGTTAATAATAATGGCTTCTAACTTCATGTGTTTTGAGAAAGCCCTTTATAAAGAAAAGGGTAAAAGAATTAAACCTCCCCACAGATTTCTCATAAATACTAGAACCTCTCCTCTCTTTCTTCAAAGGACATAAACCTTCCTTAAAAGAAAAACACACTGTTATATCTAACTTAATCAATAAAAAGACTCTTCTACCCTTAAATATTCTTTTAATTTTCCAAACATATTATAAGGTTTGATCTGAGATTCAAAAATTTTCATACAATTAAATAATAAGAACAATTTCGTCTCACCATTCACCTTTGGTTTGTTCACAAAGCCTTTCCCCCTGGGTTTTGAACATTGAATCTCTACATTAGCAAAAAGGGAGAAGCAAAGAGAATCATGGTTAACATGGAGCGAAAAAATAAAGTGTGAAAAACAAAACAAAATAATGTTTTAGCTTATTTTAGTGGTCTATTTATGAACATGGAGAGATGGTGAAACTCAATTTCTGATTAACAAGGCCTGTTTGAGCTTCTAAAATGTCCATAGAATTTTTTAGTTGAATTAAGTTGCTAAGGAAAGGAATAAATGGTTTCTAGTGCCTAATTAATGAACAAAATAAAGAATTCTATTGCAGAAAAACCCAAGAAAATATATTCAAATGGCACCTAAACTGAAAGTAAAAGTAGAGATAAAGAGACACAAGCGCAAAGAATACACAGATTTATGTGATTCGGCTTATACCCTACGTCCACGGGTGAAGGAGGAACAAATTCCTATGCTACTACATTAGAAACCGTGGTAAGAGATTTTTTCTTTTCTTTTTTTTTGTTTGGCTTCCTATGATGAGTTTTTCATTTTGAAACTGGGATTTAGTTTTGGAGATGGAAACACAGTAACGTTAGGTACTTTGATCAGCAGTGTCATGTTCGGAATAACATTTTGATCGTCTCTTTAGTTATGTATTTGATGTTGTATATTTGACATTTAAGTGGTTTTGAAGATAGAGATGGTAATCAATTCAAACTAGGGGGCCTCTAAATGTATGGAAAATGGAGGAAGAAATTCAACCTCCACTAGTAAGTTGCTCTTTCTCTTGTCTATATTTTCTGTTTGTTTCAACATTAAAATGCCTTTTCAAACAAAAAATAAAAAATAAAAATAATATAGACATGACCCAAAAATGATTTTTTGATCGGAACTTGAAACTTTATTAAATATAATGTAAAAGTATATAAATCATGTGATGTCTTTAATGTGATTGATTGAAACTTATTTTGATTTAACAAACAAATGCTAAAAATGCGTAATAATTAAACTTTTCTAAAGTATTATATGCATAGATTTCCAGGGTCATCAATGCCATGAAATTGATACTTTGAACAATGCAGCTAACAAATTTTAAAATTGAGAGCTCAATTCTTTATCAACATCCAAATCAAACATAGCACACACATTTATTATGGGGTAAATAAGAAATGGTACAGAGGGAAGAAACAAAGGTGATACATGACAAAGACCTTAAACTAGTAGATGCACTCCATACATGTATGGTTAACTATATGCTTTATTAAATTACTAATACAACACCATCTACAACTAATTTCTAGGACTCCAAAGCAAGACCATCAATTCCTTCAATCAGCTTTTCATCAAATTCCATGTAAACAGTTGGTTCAGGGATACTTTCATTTACTTTCTCATATTCTATGGAACATTTCACTGAGCTCTTGTGATCTTTTGGGATGACCTGAAAGTGCACCTTGAAGACTTTGTAATGCTCCATGATATCTCCATCATAGCATCCGAGTGTGATTAAATGTTTTTCTTCGTCTACATTTTCAATCTTTACATGTGTCGTTGAAACATTTGTTCCATCTACAACCAACAAAGACACCAAAATCAGTCAAAAAATTTGTAATATCTAAAATTATGGTTTTGAAAACTGGACCGAACTAGGCAATTGAGTAAATTGACTCAGGAATCGGTTCTGTTTCACCCTAAAATCATTCCTTAGACAAAAACCGTTGATATGATTAATAACCCGCTGGCTCAGGCGGTCAAATTATGAATCTGTCGATCCAAAAATTGGTTTTGACTGTTTTTCGATTTTAATTATTTTTTAATTAAAATGGACCATCCATTCAAACCAGACAATTGGACTATTCAACTTGGAAACCAATCCCAAAACGGTTTAACTTGGGAAGCAGACAATGGAGGACCATGGTAGCAACACTCCCTTGCAAATAAACCTCCAATAAAATACAAGTATATATACTAGCAGGTGACTATATATTAGTATTACCTAAAGAAAAAGTAAAATGTACGGCCGAGCCTATACTCTTTCCATCTCCTTCAAATACTTTCGTGCAGTGAGATTCATGAACTACAGCTTTGTGGAAGAGGTTTGGAAGATCCTTGAGACAGTGAAAGAATTTCTTTGGAGAGGTAAGAGCCATGACGATATAAAACGACGTAATGGTAATACACAATGGAAAGGAGGGGATTGACGAGAGGAAATGAAATTTGTATGCAAGACACTCAACACACAACCTGGGGTGTGTTATATATAATCTGGTGACTAGGGGCCCGTTTGGGAGGGATGAGATAAAGGATTCATCTAAACGGGTTGAGTTGCTTTGAAGCATTCCAAATAATGTTTGTTGAAAGAGATGAAGAGGACAACCCTGAGCCATTAAATGACCGATCGACAGCAGGTTTGGGCCTTCTCGATTTTTCTTCAAGCATAACTGCAGATCTGAAAATATTATTATACTATATAATATAATAGCACTGTACTCTGTACTCTTGTACTTTTATGACGCAACTCTGGATCAACCGTTCAATTTGTTAGTAAAATAACGAGCATTATTTATTTTTTTGGTAAGGCAAAAAAAATAAGGATAAATAATAAATACCTCCCGTATTATGGGGTATGTGACAACCCCCTTCGCTAAAATCCGCCGTTGCAATATTTTTAATCCCTATATTACCCTTTAGACCAGTTCATGGCCGGGTAATCTAACGGACCGGCTCTGCCTTCGGACAGGCTTGAACATAGATTTGAGCCTACGGGTTTGACCTCGGGCCTAAAAGCCCGAGCCTGATTATTTTATGTACTGGGCTCGGGATTTGTTAAAAAAGTCCAACCTAACTATTAGATTAAATAAAAAACCCTAAATATCCTAAGTTCCTAACCCCTCTCTTCTCATTCTATCTCTTTCTATCCGAACCTCTCATCTTAGTAGTGAAACACTTGCCGGCACAGCCTCACATTCTCAGATAGACAGAACCAGCGAACAATCACCGACGCAACCAGCGAAATTCTCCATTGACAACTTTCCTTTAATATATATTATATATAATAGATTTGTTGCTGGTTTCATAGCTTCTACCTTAATATGCCGCGTGTAAGTATTAGGTAGGAAAGTGACAGCCTGTTGGATGAAACACTGTTGATCATAAATACAGTTAATCAAGGGGTTATAACTTTTGTGACCCAACTATATCATTGCACTATATCAACATAAATGAACCTATTTTATTAAATTCAACCGGAGAGTCCATAATGACGTACAGTCTGGATAAGAAAAAAAGGGATAAGTAGACTGCAATTCATCTCAGAAATCTGAATTAAATCCCCCTCCTAATCTAGATTAGTAGCTTTTTTATAAATCGCATCTTACATGCAAATTTGGCACCAATCCACAGGTAGGGTTCAGCTCACTTTTAGAAATTTTAGTTCCACCTTAGGGGTAGATTGAACTATAAAAACCCCCCAAAAAAATCAATTTCATTTACATTCTCTTGGGTTATACTGTCTTCCTCTCTTTGTCTTTGTCTTTCTCTTTATTATTTTCTTACCGTCAAACCTTCCTTTATGTGCAGACAACAGATAGGGGTGAGCAAAAGAAGTTAAAAAATTAATCGAAATTGAATAAAAAAATTGGTTAATCGAATCGGTCAGTTTGGTTTCAGTTCGGTGTTTTTAAAAAACTGAAGGTACCAACTCGGTTTTGATTACCAATATAGTAAACTGACGATTAACCGAACCGACAAGTATACATATATGTCTATATATTTTATGTATTTTAAATTAATAAATATGCATTATATATATAAATATATATTTATAATATATGATATATTATTTATTATTTAAAACATAATATTTTATTTATATTTATAATTTTTATTGTATATTTATATATATTTTTATAATATATATTATAAAAATTAAAAAACCAAAAAACCAACGAATTGAACTGGTCAATCAGCTAATCAATGGTTTTGGTTCGGTTTCGATTTTTGGTTTTCCAAAAACTAGTAATACCGGTTCGACTACAAAAAGAAAGCCCATGTTCAGTTAACTGAACTATAAGCACCCCAAAAAATAGATCCATAATGCCATTGTTAAGCATGTCCCAACAAGAATCAACCGGCAACAGGGCAAGTACCCAATTACCTACAAAGTCATATAGAAAGGTGGTAAGTAGGTAAATGGGGAAATTATGAATATGACCCTCTTTGTTGGAGGAAAAATTTATTTATACTATACTTTGGGCCTAGGGCCACTTTAACACTCCAACTTTAAATGCGACAATTCAATAATCAAAATTTTAAAATGTAACAATTTAGTACCTACCATTAATTAGCCCTTAAACGGCATAAAAATATACAAATATCCTTCGGATGTGATTTAATCTTCTTTACCATTGATCCGCTCAAATTGAAAGTCGAAGCTGTTGGATTTCCGAATTTCACATCACTTCATGCATCTACAGCCAGGGATACACTTTCTTGCTCGACAATGGAAGACGCTCAATGATCAGATCGTTTTTCTGTCAAGTGTAGAGCTCAACAGATGGAAATTCCCACTCCATCTGTTGGGAAGACATGTAGAAATAGAGGGCATAATTGAACAAGAATCTTTCAAAAATTAAGGAAGAATAAGGACTTATTTTTTAGGCTACTAATTCAATAATTTGATCCAAGAAATAATTTCTGTGGATACATTTGGAGCAATGGAAAAAACAGAGAAGATAACATTTATCCTTGACCAAGTTTGTCTGTGTTTTGATTGCAAGGATTACATTCGCACACAGATCTTCATCTTTTGAAGGATTTCCAAATCTCTTTCATAAAAAATGAAAAAGTCCAAGCCATTTGCACACAAATTCCGCTGGATTTCCAAATCTCTTTCCCCAAGTAGCTAGATCGGTGACATCATCGATGACATAATCAAAGGTCAGCAGAAACTACGTTCATGAGTCCAGGTGAACATCGTAGAGGTGAAATCAAGGTTCAAAATATTAATACACTTGATATGGCGGTAAGGGTGTATTGGGCGATATCGATATTTTTTTTTAATTTATTTTCAAAACTGGTTCAAGGAACCGGTTCAAGGCTCCTCTAGCCCCTTAACCAGTCAAAACCCCGATACACTCTTTGTAGGAACATATAAGAGAGCTCTCGGATGATACATATCAGCCGATATGGATCAATACATGTTGATACTTTCAACGGGCTTATCATCAAACAAAGATGCCAAGTACAAAAGATTCAGAAGTCGAGGTGAATTGAGTGGCGTATTGGCTTTAAGATATAGACCCCATACGATTACTCAATTTAATTGTCCAGTTAGGATGGGCAGAACTCGCCACACCTTAGATTGGACTCAAGTTGGAAAACTGGAATTATAATTTGTTGGAGCAGAATTTTAACCAAACAAGGCCTAATAAACAAATGATTCAAAGTAGGCAAAATAGATGGTGTATGAACTGCACAACAACGAAGAAAAAAAAAAAAAAAAAGAACCAATAATAAAATGATACATCACATTTAAATCTTTAATATTATTAAAGTCTTTAATGATATATACATTATCAAATATGAACTAATAAAAAGTAAATAAACGATGCGATATCTTTGTTGTGATTGATTGAAATTAATTTTGATTTAACATACAGGAAATTGATATACATTAATTGTGATCGGACTCTTTAAAAATTCCTTCCAACATCTTTCGTGCAAAGTCTATGTACTCAGTTGGTTCTGGAACACTTTCATTTAATTTTTCATATTCTATACAGCATTTCGCTGAACCTGTGAAGACCTGACAGTGCACCTTGAATACTTTGTAGTGCTTCATGACATCTCCTTCATAGCATCTAAGTGTGACTGAATATTTTTCCTCGTCTACAGCTTCAATCTTTACAGCCGTGCTCGAAACAGTTTTTCCATCTACCATCAACAAAGACACCATAATTAGTCAAAAAATCTGTAATTTTCATCACTTCTCTTTGTTAAATAGCATATAACCATGAACAAATCCAACAAGTGTTCATCTCAAAACAAAAAAAATAAAGAAAGAAATTCATGGGATGTTTGGATTGGGGGTTGCAGAAGATGTCTGTCTATATATAACCTAAAGCATAATTAAAGTGTACAGAAGAGCCTATATTCTTTCCATCTCCTTCAAGTATTGTTGCGCGGTGAGATTCATGGACTACGGCCTTGTGAAGGTGGTTCGGGTGGTCCATAAAACAGTGAAAGAACTTCTTTGGATCGGCCTTGATTTCCTTCTCATACTCGAGCTTACCAGTAAGAGCCATGACGATGCATTAATACACAGAAACGAGGGGATTGAAGAGAGGAAATGAACTTTGTACGCAAGACACTCAACACACAAACTGGGGCGTATGATATTAGGGGCCGTTTGGGAGGGATGAAATGAAGGATTCATTAAGGGGGTTCAGTTTATTCTTTGAAGCATTCCAAATGACTGATTGACCGCAGGGTTTACGATTTGTAATTAATCAACAAGCTTTATCTAGAAGAATCCGCCGGATTTATGATTTGTAATTAAAAAACAAGCTTTAATCAAATGAAAGAGACGGTCATCATACATGTAAGGTCTTTAATTCTTTATGGGTCGAGTCAGAAAATTGCTTTGAGGAGAAATGCGAGAGTTTCGCAGGTGCTATGTCTTAATGCCACGTACGTATTAAGTAGAAAGTGGGAGCCAACTGGAACACTTGGATTTCAATAAGGGTTAAATTGATGTTTTTGTTCTAAATAAAAAACACAGATGATCATTATCAACAACCAATTATAAGGGTTGATTATATCAACTCAAGAAAGCAAATCAGTAATGAGATATAGATTTTATATTATTTCTACAATCTTAAATGCGCACGAGCAGTTGTTGACTTTTTGAGAAGTATTGCACCAAATCAGCTAAATCAACCTATTTTAAATCTAACAGGGGAATTCATACTTAATGGCAGTTTGGATTTCAAAAGAAATTTCATTTTCGTTTACTGGTTTTTGGGTTAAATTCATACTTAATGGCAGTTTGGATTTCAAAAAGAAATTCGTTTTCATTTACTGGTTTTTGGGCTACAGTGATGCCCCCCCTCTTCTCCTTCTCTGCTTCCTTTCTTTTCTTTTCCTCCGTTCGTATCTTCTTTCCTCAAACTGCGCCAGAAAACCGACCCACACCCGCCGTTATGTAAGCTCCAGTAACCATCAACCGACGGCAGGGCAAGTACCCAATTATCCACGTGTCAAAATTTTGAGATTAAAATATGATGATATGCTCTGTTCCTCCATTAATTAGTTTATTAACAATTTTAACTTACAGCCAAAGGCTCTGAGCTCAGAAGAAGCCAAGTAAGCATAGAGGAAAAATCAATATTTCAACAGTGTTACCATTCACAGAACCGAAACCAAAGAAAACAGAAATGGTGTCATTCTTGCCATTTCGTGTTCATACATCTCACAACCCACCAACAGTTTGATTCGTCCATTAACAGTAGAGAATAGCCTGATTTTGGAACTATCCTTGACCTACGGTTGGACCGTATATATGGCTTGGAAACCGTTTCATCCCCGAACCATTCCTTTTAACAAAATTCGTTGGTTTGGTCAGCAACCCGCTGATCCGGGAGGTCGAACTATCGATTAGTTTGACCTGTACAATAATTTTTGACTATTTTTTATCTTAATTATTTTTATTCTTTTAAATTACAACATGCCATTCATTCAAACTGAACAGTCCCATTATTATACTATTATTGTCGTAATCATCTAAATTGGTGGCAGCAACGTGGGTATACAAAAATGTCGTAGGCACATAAAAAAAGTCAACTGAATACTGTTGTAGAGGAGATAGAGATGGTTCAAGATGGAGCAACATCGGGGGTCTTGCCACTTCCAACCTTTACAGCAATGAAGAGAAAGCATGGTAAGAGACGTAAACGCGTCACTGTAAGTAATCCGAAGGCGAAATAGAAGATAAAAGCAAGGAATGGTGCATTTGTAACGGCCGGTTTCTTCTAGCTAATGCATATATATACGTAAGAACTCTGTACAGTGAACATTGCTATTGTTCATGAATCATGAGCTAATACCAGAATAACGGCACGATATCTTCTGTGAGCAATGCTCTAAGCCAACACTTGCGGCTGTTAATTCGGACTCGTCGGAATTTGGGGTTTCAACTGCCTTTCCTTTCTTTGAAGTCTCCTCGCTTTGCCTGCCTACCGTTTGACGTTTTAGGAATTTTTTGGGAGCCTAACTTTCGTTTACTTGAACGAGGTAGCCGTTGAATTAGACCACCCCACTTGAATTACTGCATGTAGTCCCATGCATTCCCTCTCTAGCATACTTATTTTGCTCTCTCTCTCTCTCTCTCTATAAATACCCACCACCCTCTCCTTATCCCCCATCCAAAAACATAACTGCTTTCAAATCTCTCTCTCTCTCTCTCCCACAATGAGGTCATTAAGGATCTTCCTCATTTTAGCAATTGCTATGGCTGCTTTAGCTTTTAGTCTTGCTGCAACACCAACTACTGATGAAGAAGTAGCAGTACTGGAGGTTGATGAAGATGACACAGTTGTAGTTGACAGTAATTCGGATGGTGACTTCCCATTGTCTGGTTTTGGGCAACCATCTTCCCTCCGAGGGACAAGTCGATTCCTCACACAAGTAAATGCTAAAACGACTGTGATGACTTGTAACAAGTTTCCTAGAGTTTGTCGTTCCAAGGGAAGTGCAGGACCTGATTGCTGCAAGAAGAAGTGTGTTAATGTGCTAACAGACAGGCTCAACTGTGGAATGTGTGGGAGAAAGTGCAGACACCCAGAGATATGCTGCGAGGGCGAGTGCGTGAACCCTTTGTTTGACAAGAAGAATTGTGGCCAATGCAACAACAAATGCAACAAAGGGAGCTCCTGTGCATACGGCATGTGCAGTTATGCTTAAACTACTCGTTTATTTTCTAGCAATTAATTAATTTAAATTCGTTATGTATGTATGTACACAATAAAAGCAGGCCATCCATCCATCTTCTGATGCCCTTTGCGAGTTTTTTTTGCTCATTTATTCATGTATTGTATAAATTTGTTAGATTCATATTTTAAATTTATAGTTTGATTTATATGAATTTGTTGGCCCCGAGAGATTTTAATCAATGTAGACTTTTATTGTTAATGGCTCAGGGGTTTCGGGTATGGCTCAGGACCTGATTTCATGCGATGAAGGAAGAGGGATTTGGATTATATTCCCAGATTCTGCATGGGTGTGGATAATTAGGTAACAGGGTGCCTTAGGCCTAGGTTCATTAATGAAATCCGTGTTCCAATTATTAACTTATGTGATGGGGTCAAGGTAGCCAAGGACAGAAGTGCAACTTGGATGGGTTGGGTTAGAGAATTGTTCAAAATTTCAATGGCTCCTGCCTAAAAACCTTGGCATTGGCCACCTAATTTCAAAAGTTATCAAAGACAGTGGTTTTTCTACCGTGATGTTTTTTGATAAAGGATAATTTGGTCCTTCAATGACATCATGACATGTGGCATCTTAGAATAATTGGGTGTCATTTCAGCACAATGTAAGTAAATCATCACGTTGGTACCACGTAAACAGATCACCTTGGACACTTTATGACTGCATCAGTGACCTTGGGGCCACCTTGGTAGACCGAACTGCGAACACCTAGATGGGATCTTAGGTCAGTGTATGATGCGACCTGCTTCCATCGGACTACCCCGGTCCCATCAAAATGTAGGTCGGCATGAGAGGCAACCTGCTTCTACCGACCTAATCCAAGTTCAGCTAGCGACTTGACAGATCTCCTCCTCGAGTGAATTACCATCTCCGACTTATCCGGGATCACAATGCTCGACCGTTAGACCCATCTATCTGCATCGGATTTGATCGAATGGACCTTATCCCTTTGTGTGGAACACGTATTCGATTGAGAGATCTCCTCGAAACATGGTCGACATGGTTTCCTAGGAATCTCATACGCATTACAAGAAGCTCCCGATTGCTTACGGCTATATAAAGGCGTCCCCTCCCTTAGGGAAGGTACATAGGATTCAACTCTCAAACACTCTAGCTCTTTCGCTCTTTATCTCTCTCCAAAATCTCCAGCTCGCTAACTTAAGCATCGGAGTACCCACCCCGGGTAAAGCATCCCAAGCACTCTAAGACTGTCTTTTTGTAGATCGACCAACGAACTCGCTAGCTCGAAATCTGAGTTGCCCTCCAATAGGGAGTTGTCAGATCACACATCATCAATTGGTGCCATTTGTGGGAACCGCTACTTAAAAGCCAAGTTCTTAACCCTCATTTTAAATTCGCACTCAATGGTAATTAGCCTGAATAACACTTGTCAGCTTTGTTCGCGAGGTCACCTCTATAGGTCTAGCCCTTTGTAGCTCCCACGGGAGTCGGCAACCAATGGACTATGTAGTCGCCCTTGTGGGTCAAGCCTTTCAAGGCTCCCGTGTGAGTTGGTGACCTACAAATAGTAGAGCCACCCCTACAGGTTGAGCTCCCTATGGCTATCGTAGGAGTAGATGGCCAGAGTCTTTGAGGATAGATGTAGTGTAGATGTGGCATCGACCTACCGTCCAACACCAACAGTAGCACACATGTTGATGATTTTATCACAAGGGGGACAAAATTTGAATGACCAGCTCGGGCAAGCTTCGACAATTCGGCCCTAAGTCTCCTAGCCGTAACTACAATTTCTCACTGCTAATTGAGCCCTCCATGGCTCCCATGAGAGTAGCTAGCTGACTGTGGGACTAGCTTCATAGGTCAAACCTTTCATAGTTTCTGTAAGAGTAGGCCACCCGCAAATAGTAGAACCACCCCCTCTAGGTGAGCCCCCCATGTCTCTAGTAGGAGTGGACGGCTAGTAGTTCTAAGAGCAGGTATAGGACATGAGTGGCATTGACCCGTGAGCGTAGACCCAGGAGAGTCACTCCCTTGCGATGGCATAGATGCATCCACATTTCGTGCCCGGCTCCTAGATGCTTTAGGTGCACCCACGGCTGTAGAACAACTGATTAGCTCACAGAGCCCCCTCAAGCTGACCTTGAAACGTGTTGGTAGATGGTAGACCGATCTATGCAGGTCAGCCCTCCATTTATCTAGCTCAGCAGCATTTTGACTTGGCTCCTACCACACTTGAATTGATCTCAAAGGACATCGGTATTTCACCACGGACCTAATAAAAAAAAGAGAAGAAACAAAGAGAAAGGGAAGACTTCATAAGTTCCATTTAAGAAAGGATTTCATACCACCAGTGAATAGGTTGCAACAAATTCATGCTTTATTGAGCTCGTAGGCCCGGTGTTCAGTAGTAAAAAAAACAAAAAAAAGGAGTTCACCACTATTCATCATTCTCGTCACTGCCTTCACCATCGTCCTCATCGCTGTCTACCTCCTCTGGAGTAGTTGCCTCTTCGTCAACCTCCTGGGTCAGATCCTCTGGGACCGACCTAAGCGAGATAGAGCCCAAGTCAAGGTCTAGGTACTGGTGTCGAAGAAAGCGGTGGCACAATTTGAAGCCCCCTTTTAGAGAAGGAACCAATGCTTCAATTCTCTCCTGTTCAAACTCCAGAGATCGGCAAACGCGCTTAATAGCAGCAACTTCAACTTGTTGAACATCGTCAGAGTGCCTGACTCACTATTCAGGAAGGAGAATACTACCCCTTCCCATATGAAGCACCACATATGGGTCATGAATCCAATAAGTGATCAAGTAATTGACCTGAGGAATTTCCAGAGGGACCTACGGACCATAAGGAGTCGTTGCCTCATCGAAGTGGGACGTGCTCATTGGTTGTAGTGGAGTGATGTGAGCATGGTCCGCCTGAATCGGGTTGCTTCCCTCTTCCAGGTCAACCGTAGCATGGCGACCTTCTGCCGACCTCTCTTCAACCTCGGGGCTAGATCCATCAACTACCCTCCTCTTCTTCTTAGACAATTTTCGTGTTGCGTTTATGGTCAAAGGAAAGCTAGTCATCCTTGCCATTAAATGAAGATTAGTGGAAATAAAAATGGCAGGAAATAAATTTCGAATGTAATGAATATAGTTTGACCTACCCATGGAGCTAAGGCCGGCCTCGATGAGCATTGGTTCGGCCAGGAACTCGTTGACCAAGGAGCGATGTTCGACAAGGAGTCTAAGGTCGTTCAGCAACTCCTCGTCAAACTCGACCTCGCACCTTTTTACCTTGGACCTCTAGGTCATCGGCATAGGCTAGCCTTCCTCACGACTCAGAAAGAAGAACTTCGTCTTCCAGTTCGTGATCTTGGACGGAAAACCACCTAGAAGCCTAAACCCAGGTCGGTAGCTGATGTAGAAGCAATGGGTCTAATTTGGCACTCGCTTTACATGACATATCCTACTAAAGATCTCTATATCTAAGGGAAAACCAAAGACCCGCTTTTAGGGCCTCCTCGAAGACAACTATCTCATCATCCTCGAGCTCCCACAGGTACCCCTCAAGAGGAAGAGGGTAGTCGAACTCATTTGGAATCCTATATCGGGCAGTGAGCTCGTACACGTTATCAACAGAGAGCTCGAAAGGACTGAACTGGTCTGGGGATTTAACCCTACATGAAGACGAGGCCCTCTTATGAAAATTACATCGGTCTTGAGCCGAGGTTCCTTTCTTAGCCCGATTGAATGGACCCCCCTCTTCTTTGGACTCACTACCAGACATTATGAATGAAATGGAGCAAAGGGAAATGACTCACCTAAGATGAATAGACTGACCTCGCCGACAACACTAAGCACTCCAATAATGCTGAGCTCCACGATCTCACCAAGAAATCCAAAGATAGGGATGAGAAAAAATGGGCCCCCGAGGGCCCTATTTATAGAAGGATGGACTGAACTATAAATGAGTGAGATCGGTTAGATCCAGTGGTTCGCAAGGGTGTGACAGTTTGTATTTTGAGGTGAAATCAATTTAGCGTATTTTTTACGTCCACGTGGCCTAATAGTTGTGTGACATTCACACGTCCTTGGTACGCTACCTTGCACCCAGGTCGGACTGATTGAACCGACCCGATCCTGAGAAATTGATCGAACTGCAAGTGAGGATGGAGAATGGACCAAATTGCTTCAAGTCATAACTACTCCCTCATCGGACTGACCACCCCGTACTCAGGAATGGGGGGCAATTGATGAGGGGTAATTTGGTCCTCCAATGACATCATGACATGTGGCATCTTAGAATAGTTGGGTGACACCTCAGCACCACGTAAACAAATCACCTCAGACACTTTATGACTACATCAGTGACCTTAGGGCCACCCCGGTAGACTAAATTGTGAATAACTAGATGGGATCTCAAGTCAGTGTATGATGCGACTTCCTTCCATAGGACTACCCTAGTTCTGTCAAGACACCAGGTCGGTATGAGAGGTGACTTGCTTTTACCAACCTAATCCGAGTTTAGCTAGCGACCTACCGGATCTCCGCCTTGAGTGAGTTACCGTCTCTGACTTCTCTGGGATCACGACGCTTGACTATTAGACCCATCTATCGGCATCATCTGCATCGGAGTTTATCGAACAGACCTTATCCCTCTATGTGGATCACGTATCCGATTGAAAGACTTCCTCCGAACATGGCGGGCATGGTTTCGCGGGAATCTCGGACGCGTAATAGGAATCTCCCAGCTTCTTACACCTTTATAAAGACGTCCCCTCCCTCAGAGAAGGTACGCGTGATTCAGCTCTCAAATACTCTAGCTCTTTCACTCTTTAACTCTCTCTAAATTCTTTAGCTTGCTCACTTAAGCATCAAAGTGCCCATTCCAAATAAAGCAGTTTGGGCACTCTAACATTGTCTTTTTATAGGTTGACTTGATGAACTCGCTAGCTCGACATCTGAATTTCCCTCCAGTAGGAATCTGTCAGATTGCACATCATCAATTTGAAGTTCAAATTAATCTACATTACTAATCCAATCAACAAAATTTTTTTGGGTGAATAGTGTCAGAAAACTCTTAGATCTTGCACCTTAGGCTCAGTTTGG